GCGCCTGCCGCATCCCTGTGCCGCGCTCACCCTGCGCTGCAGGGGTTGTGCTGCTGGCAGTGAGGGGAGAAGCTTGCCTGAGAGCTGGGGTACCCGGAGGAGCGGGCTGTCCCCTGGAAAACCACAGACAGGGTGGGGGGGAGGGCGTGTGTGTGCTCCATACCCTTGAATGTATTTGTCATCCACTCCAGGGAGCGTAACGGGAGTTGGGGAAGTATGCTGACAGGTTACTGTTGGAACAGACAGCGGTTTGGCTCGCTGGTTAACAGGGACCTGTGTGGGGACTTGGCTGGCTGTTTTTAATCACTGGGTGTAGCAACTTCTCCCACCCGAGATGGCAGCTCACCCCAGTGAGGTGCTTCTCAAAGTGGTAGGTTCACAAACAGGGATTTGTTCTTTTTTTTTTTTAATCAGGTCATTATTTAAACACACTTCAGGTCCCGAGTGCTCTTCTCGGCCTCTTGTGCGAGCTTTGGGATGAGCACGTACTGAGCTGGATGTTCCCTGTATGGACAACCAGCCCCTGATACTTCACTGCAGGAGTTCACAGCAGATGCTGCATCCTCACACCCCCTTCACCTCCCCCTGGGCTTGTGCCCTCTGGGGAGGACAAAAACCCAACAGTCCTTGTGCTCAGAGACCTGTAGGAACTGTTCCCATCCCAGAAACCCCTTCCCGCACTCGCTCTCCTTTGCCTGTTCTCTGCTGCTGGCACTGCCAGTGCCTCGGCTCGCACTCAGCTACCAACCCATCTGCATCCACAGCTCCGGAGCGTTGCAGCATCAAAACGTTGCCCTTCACCATACAGGAGTGGTTTTCCCTCTCAAAAATTCGTGCTCGGTGGTTTTTGGTAGCAGTTTGTCCCTTGCATGAGCTGCCAATAAAGCCTGGGGGAGGAGAGGAAGCTAAACAGCACCATGGTTGGGATAAGGACCAGTGCTGCCCGTTGGACCAACATCCTCGCAGGGAGGAACAGAAATGTACAGAAGAGTGTGTATGTATGTAGGGATGTTAAAGGCTCCTGAACGTGAGTAACTCTGGTTTTTCCTTCATGCCCTTCCCAAGATGTATTCCTGTTTTCTCAACCTGCCGAACAGGCCATTTGCGTGTACCTGGAAACACGTGGCACACATAAAACTTCCCAGGGGTGTCTGCATCTGCCGTGGGTGTTACACGTTGTCATCCTTCTTTCCAACCCCATCAGTTGTCTGGGCTGTGATCCTTCCGATGCTCTGTGGCTCTGTTCTGTAATTTTCCCGTATAATGCGTTTTCTGGAGAAAAATGGATTCCCAAGGTCTTTCAGTGGCTGGCACTATTCACTTTTTAGTGCTTGTATCAGAAATATTTAAATTTTCACGTGGTTTCTTCAGTCTTCCCAGTGCATTTCCTACCCTAAGCTTTAATCCTAGATAGCTTTCCACTTCCTGCCACTGACTGGTATCTCCAGCTGGGTATTCCCTGAGCTCCTGCAGTACAAGTTCTGGCATTAAATCAGCAGCAGTAGGACCTGCCTGCTGTCCAAACACGGAGGAGCATGATCACTACACTCATGTTAACTGGGAATGGCGAGTAAACAGAGTAGAAGAGACGCATCTGTTGTAGAGAAAGTTTTGAGCTTCACGTAACGTCTAAATGTGCAAAATGCTCGTAACAACTTTCTTACATTTGGCAAAAATGGTGCATATTTTACTTGCCAGGTAACAATACCTATATTTATAGCAAAGTGGGAGATGAATGAGAAGTCCCCTCAATTGTCTCTTATTTAGCCCTTAAGCTTCCAGCAGGCTCTTCCCTTCTGTTGCTGGGAAGGGCTGTGTCCACACAGTTGTGTCCTGAATTAAGGGGTGCGCAGAGTCCTTTGAGTAGAGTCGTTGCAAGCAGCATCCAGCTGCAAATAGCAACAAAATACTCCCGGTAGTTTCTGTGGTCAACACAGGCTCTGACGGGGAAGGCGGGGGGAAAGCGGAGGCGGTTGTGTCGTGTCCCGGCAGCTGCAGCGCGCGGCTCTGTCACGGGCTCTCGTGGTGAAGACTGACAAAGCTGGCAGCAGGAACCAAGTAGCGCAACCGCAAACATGCCCGGGTGCAGACTGAGACATGGGAACCCCCGGGGGCAGACGCTCCGGTGGCAAGCAGCGCCGGCCTCGTTTGCTGCCGAGGTTGTGTACCGAGTCCGGAAAGCAGCAGCTCTGTTTAAGGAGAAAAATGTGAAGGAGGGAAGAAAAGACTGGAAATACCAGTGTTGCTCAGCCACAGCTGCAACAGCTGAGGGCACATTACCTCTAGAACCTTGTGCTTGCAAGGACTGACTTGATTTTGATGTTCTTTGCTCTTTCTTAACTGGTTCAAAATAGTTTCTGAGTGAACAAGGTTTGAGGCAGAAATAAGGTTCAAGAACAGGAGCTGGACAGGCTTAAGCTGAGGCCAAAACTTGTATAAGCAATTTTTCACCTGCTGTGTCATGAACCGATACCGCGGGTTTCGGTAGAACTGCACGCCACGTGTGCCGACGCTTGTTTCCAGGATAAAGACGCCTGTGCCGAGAGGACACAGTAACGGGTCTGCACATAAACGGGCAGCTTAACTGATGCAGAAATGTGTTGGGATTTAAGCCGTGGGGTTTGTCTGTAAGCCCTGCAGAGCTCCAATACCTGAATCAGCGTGAGTCGAGTTTTATTTTGTAAGAACTAAGTTTGGTCAGTGTCCTGCACTTGGCTGTGCTCGGTGCGTAACCCCAGCGAGATGGGTGACCTGTGGAATACTTTTTCCTAAACCCAATTTGCAGTGGGAAGGATAAAGAGACGTTTATCCTGACATTTCTGACTGCATACATATGCATCTACTGGCTGAATCGGAGGGGATGGCCAGGCACATCATGGCACTTTGATTTGCCAAGTCACTCAGTGCATTTTTCGGGCACTGACGTGAAGTCCCACGACCTTCTGAAGTTTGTGTGAGGTGGATGGTTGCTGCTCAGCATCCTCCAGTGAGCTGGCGGAGGGGCTGCACCGTGCCCCTGCAGTAACTGGTGCTGTGAGACTGTCTCTGCGCACAGGAAACGCTCTTGGTACTTCCTCAGTCTGCATCTTCACAGTCCGACGTGACAAATTCCACCGGCGCGCAACGCTGAAGATGAACATCCAGCTGTGGAGCCCTCAACATCGGAAGGATATAGACTGGTTGGAGCGAGTCCAGGGGAGGCCATGGAGATGCTCCGAGGGCTGGAGCCCCTCTGCCACGGGGACAGGCTGAGAGAGCTGGGGTGTTCAGCCTGGAGAGGGGAAGGCTCCAGGGAGACCTTATAGCACCTTCCAGTACCTGAAGGGGCTACAAGGAAGCTGAGGGGGACTTTTTACAAGGGTCCATAGTGACAGGACAAGGAGTGATGGGTTTAAATTGAAAGTGGGGAAGTTTAGATTAGACATCAGGAAGGAATTCTTCCCAGAGTGGGTGGTGAGGCACTGGGACAGGTTGCCCAGAGAAGCTGTGGATGCCCCATCCCTGGAAGGGTCCAAGGCCAGGCTGGATGAGGCTTGGAGGCACCTGGTCTAGTGCAAGGTGTCCCTGCCCATGGCAGGGGGGGGGACTGGATGATCTTTAAGGTCCCTTCCAACCCAAACCATTTTATGATTCTTTGATTCTATGAACTCTGTGCGTTCTTTTCACTGCCTGCCCTCACAGGCAACCTCTGCCAGCCCTCACGACTTCACCCTCCGGTGCAGTGTTGCGTTCCCCATGTGCGCAGACAATTCCTGCGCGTGCCACTGTCCTCGTCCAAAGCGATCATCTGGAGTGCCCAGCGACGAAACACAACAGCGATGCTGAGCCAGATTTGTACTCACAAAAATGAACATGATGAATTCTGTACTGAGCTCTTTTGTGTTTGGTAAAAAGAAGTTACATAAATTAAACCCACTACTAACTGGGGGCTCTTTTCCCTTTCAGTTTTCCGTTGGGAACTTGCCCCCATTGGTTGTTCACACAGGAACGCCTTTCAGCAATACTCCGCGTCCGTTAAACATCCTCGTCAGTCCATTTTAGGATCTTTCCGACTAGTAGAAGGCATGTTGTCATAATCCAAACATCTTTTCTTTCAGTCCACTTAAATACCTGGCACTTCACCGGGTTGATGTCGCTGGTTAATTACCCAGGCTGTATGGGCAGTTACGAGCAGATTCACGACGTTCTCTGAATGCTACTTATAATGATCTTAAAAAAGGGAGGGGACTTTATATAAACTATATCAAGATTGGAAAGTATCAGCTTCTTCATATTTCACACACCGCATGCAAATCTCTCTCCTTCATCCAAAGAGTTCGTTTGGGATAAACAGACTAATCTCATTTTTGTAAATCGTTTGAGATTGACTTTTGTTCTCATTTTCCTCAAATCTGGAGAAGTGACGATGCCAAGTTCTCAGCAATAAATGGAGAAGCCCAAACCTCAGAATTTAATTATTCATTTTCATAAAGAGTAGATTTTGTTCTGTA